TACACGCGCGCGAAGAAAATGTGTGTGTATCTTTCCTTTACCTTGGAAGCGTTAGTATGTATATACCTTGGTTTAAGTTTAATTTATTTTATTGCTTTTTGCTCTTTTTTCTCCTTTACTTATTTAAAAGCACATTTTGTAATTTTAATTTTTCCAAGATTGCACATGCACTTATTTAAGGTCTATAAGGCCTTAAGGATTGGGGACCAATGTGTGTGGCGACATTTATATAATTGCAATAAAATCTTAACATAATCATTTGACTGCGAAACAATGCATCGTGGAAACGTTGGTAGAAATGTGAAGAAATGTTCATGTTGGCCAAGCACGCGTTTCATTAGTTACAATAAGTTGAGTTATTATTACGTGCTCGATATACGTGCTCGTGCGAAATAACCGTGGCTTCTTGTTATTATTAACGGTGTATATCCGATGCGAAATAACGATAACTCTTAGTCTAAGTTTACATCAGTTATTATACATGTATAGCTGATACGCGTATCAAGTGCTCGATGTAACTAGACTTTACTTTCAAAGAAATTTATTATATCGGGGAATGTCAATTTTGTAAGAGGTACGCTTGAAAAAAAAATGGAAACTCGCTCGAGTTTTCATTATGCTTTGAGATTTTTATTCTAACGAGAGAAATGCTCGGTTGCTGCGTATAGAGAACATTTAGAATTTGTATGTCTTATCCGTTAACAATAATTTTGTCAAATCTGCAAATAATTTCGCTATACAAGTGATAAATTGTTTCGTTGCACGCAACGATAAATCGCAGTTGCCTGTACAATGGAGGATTCTATTTCACTTGAACAGCACATCCGCGCGTGTCCCTACGACGAACTGTATCCGACAAGAATTTTTCAGAGAGATTTCGCTGCGATATCGAATAATTTACGCGTTTGCAAAGTTTCATACGTATATCGCTTTCGCGTCGAATTTAATTGCGACGTTAGCTCGTTGTAACTGCAATTTTGTGCGGCGACAGCAAACCCTACCAATTCTTTCTATACGTGCGTAAAATTTTGGGAAAAGTTATCGTTAATATACTTAATTATAAAAAATGTATACCGAGTGACTTTTCTGGCGAATCGGTTCAACAATTGCGAGATCTGCCATCTGCAGATGGGAGATATTGTGGAGAATAGAGGAAACGGGAATTAGGCGACGCGTAATTTGGCGATAGTTGTGGTTGATTCGCGTCGCGGTCGCGACGTACTCGGCACGCATATCCTATCTCGCCGCTGGAATCCTCATATGTCTGTCAACGTGGCTCTCCAACTCCAACATCTCGGGGCTTCGCCTCGGATCAGATCACTTTTCTCGCAGCTCGCGACTCGAGTCGCGAGTGAACGAGCGGGTGGCGGGTACGCCACGTCACGAGAGACGCGCACAAACGATATCTCTCGCTCTCGCACTCACACTCGCACGTGTCCCTTCCTATAGCACTCCCAGCAGCCCCAGCTGGACCAAAATATCACCACGCCCGCGGCAACCGGAGACCGGTCACCGGAGACTAGTGGCCAGGGATTCAGGGCCGTATCGCGGTATGTTCACGCTGCAGGATGTTGTATAGCCCCTCAATCCGCTAGCTATGTATTAACAGGTCAATTCTCTATTCGGATTTCTAGTACTTGTACTTAGTAATTGTACTCGTTTTAGGCGTTAAATTTCCATATTAAAATCTATATTGTTATCTCGAGATGATAAAATTAACTACAACTGCCTATAAGTGCATCGTAACAAAAACGAAATGCATTATTATTTGTTATATACACATGCAATATACATGTGCGTGTATGGATGTATCATATATATTTTTCTATTTACCACTTATACCAGGTCAATTTTCTAACTCTACGTGAGTTCGTTGCAGAATCATCCAAAATAAACTTTTTAAGCAAGCTTGCATCATTTATTTCATCTGCATCTTTAAATGTGAAATACATTTAGAAGCTTTTTATTTTTTAGCTTTTCAACTGTCCATTTCCAACTTGCTTCACGCGAAATGACTCGACCAGGGCGAGATGGCGACACATGACACTGAGAGCAGTGAGAACTGGTGAGAATTGGTGAGAACTAAGAGCAGGTGTGCGTCGTGTATCATACGTCGGTAACGTTACTTACTCATTCAATCAAGTGCTAATTATTTTTGCACGTGCGTGGTTTTGCTCTTTGTTTTCTTTCATTTTCACCAATCTTTTCTCACGCCTAAATATACATATATTTATATGCCAAATTTTAGAGGATCTTAAGCAATGCGTATGTATATACATACGTAGTAGTATAGTACTAAGCAGTACTAATTAAGTACATACATGCATACGGTGACTGATAGTGGTTAGTGGATATGCATATGTACATGTGCACTTGTGTGCGCATGGTATGTACATACGATCATCATCTCATGTACGATGTGTACACTTGTACAGGGTACATACGTACATACGAGATGGTAGAATTATTATACTATAAATAATCTCAAATAGACGAAAAGTATCTTCGTTACAGGAAAGAAATGAAACGTGATGCGATATGCACGAGGTTGCATTCGACAGATTTGCAATAAATAAATATTTTCTACATTACCAAGTGCTTCATATTCAAGCTTATAGTGATCATTGAGACGAATTCCTTTACATAACCTCAATCACACCCACGTTGGTTGACTAGTTCTACTCGGCGCTACTCAAAATGAGTAAGTAAACCTAACCAATGTAAATGTAGCTCATCCTTCCTTATTTGGTTTTACAAACAAATAAAACTCTAAGAAATTTTTTTTATTTTCCAAAATAAACATTTCTCAACTAGCAAGTTTTTCCAATCCTTTTTCTAAATCATTTCTCTCTTCTTGTCGTTTCTATCATATTTCATATCAATTTCACTTTTTCAGATTCCATCATGGATAGCCCGGGTTCTAAAGCTCTCGAAGCCGCTAAAAATATCAAGGACTTGACTGTATTCAAAAAACCTATCGGATCCGTCAAGAGGAGCAAAAATGTACAACCAAAGATTTTAGATGAAGATACATATATTGAAAAAATGAGTGACATTATACAAAAAGATTTCTTTCCGCACTTGGAAAAGCTACAGGCACAAAATCAGTATTTGGAAGCTTTAGAGCAGAACGATATGAACAGAATGAGAGAGTTGTACGCAAAGTATAGCTCTGGCCGACCTATCACTGAAAGACCGATCAGTCCAGCGACTTTCGAAACTCCGCTGCGTAGAACTGAGTCAGCCGAATCGCCGCCTACCACTGAGGCATCGTCCCAAAAAACAGACGTCGTCGAGTCCGTAAATAGAGATGGTACTGAAAGTAAGATCGGCCTCGATGATTATTTGAGTAATCATACTAGCGAGGATAATGCTAGTTTCGAAGAGATGATGATTGAGGCTGAAAATAAACGTAAGCTCAAGTATGCCTGGCTTTACGAGGCAGAAGACAAGTCGAAAGCTTGGCTAGCTATCGACGGATCCTCCACCACCACCACACCTGATGTCCCAGCTATCCAAGGATCCAATCCCAGACCCAAACAGGTGGATAGTTGGACTTACAAAAATAAAAATTATATTATGTACATTCCCGATGGAGTGGAACTTACGGCGGGAGAGAAAATAGAATTGGCCAAGAAGAAACAAACTATAATGCACGAAAATACGAGGTTGCGAACAAATCCGTTTAACGAGCAACAAAATAAAGAGACCATCGACGAACTCGCCAAGTCACAATCCAGAGCTAACGACGGCAAGATTGGTGTGGATGGCAAAGAGGTTGTCAGAAATGCTACGCCACGAGTGAATGGTTTTAGTTTCGTGGCTACGCCAAGTCCGAGACCGGGAGAATGCGAAAGCCCGTTGATGACATGGGGTCAGATCGAGGGGACACCCTTCCGATTGGACGGTGGTGACACACCATTGCTAAGGACAAGTCAGGGACCCTCTTTCAGAATAGCGGAACCACCGAAAAGAGAACAATTGGCATTGCAGTTGGCTGAGAAGGCTGGCGAGAGGCACAGGGATCGAAAAAATAAAGCCTTGGAAGCTGCCAGGAGATCATTAGCCACGTAAGTGATATTTATATGTTATATAAATTTCGCAAAATGAATATCGCCGAATGAAATAAATGTATAATGTATTTGTGAGAAAACAATTTATGAGAACAATTTATCAATATTCTTTTCAGTCCATCACCGAGATCAACCATAGATCGGCTGAGCACTATGTCTCCCGCGGCAAGAAGACTAGCGACTCAGAAACTGCGCATATCGAATACGCCATCTCCTCGACGGACGCCATCGTCTAGGACTCCATCCGTAGGAAGTCTCAGAACACCTAATACGCCACGTGCGAACGTGCTGGCTAAAGAAATCATCTCTCAAAAGTCGGAAATTAATGCCACGCGGATACAAGGACCCGTACTCACCGATAATTTACTTAATCTACCTCCGCAGCGACAACGGGCGTCAGATTTCTTCAATAAATGAGAAATTGTTATATGCTATCTGAAAATTGTATGTAGAAAGATCGCGCGCGTGAGATTGTATATAGCACATCGATCGAATTTGCTTATTTACAATTAATCTACATATTAGAGAGACAATCTCCGCGCGCGCGCATGTGTGTATGTGTGTGTGTGGGGGTGTGGGTGTGTGTGTGTGTGTGTGTGTGTGTGTGTGTGTGTGTGTGTGTGTGTGTTGTGTAAATAATGTATAGCGTTTGTAATATAATTTTAACAAAGTTCTTTTAATTCAAGTCTTATTGAATGTCGCTAGTCCTCTCAAGATGGAATCGTACGATCCTCTCGATTTCTTAAATGACATGCATGCATGCAGTCGTGCTTGCTCTAAGCATGCTAGATTTGCTAGAGAATAAGTTCATGCATTGAGCGCTGCATACTGACACACATGATTTCTCATTTCTCTATGTGCGTACATTCATACCATTTTTATATACGATTTCATGCTTGTTTCCTTGCATGCATGATGACAAAAAAAAATATTGGAAATAGGATAGACGTAATCGGGTAGAGAGTTGACAGCATCTTACATTACCATAATAAGCATTTACGCAATAAAGCTCTAAAACGAGTAAATAATTAAGTACAAAAAATACAGAAATTAAAGAATGTATAAATAAATTGCATTCCTTAAGAAATAATTTTAATATTGAAAATAAAAAAGAAAGAAATCCGTGAAAAAAGGAAGCGGAACAGATGACCTAAATATTCTTAATTTAATTTTTCATAATTTCACTCTCATTCTAATCTAATCTCATTTTTCCATTTTATATTCTTAATTAAAATCTTTGATATTTTGAGATATTTATATTTATAGATGATGAAATTCTTGAAGATGTATTGACAAAATCTTGAATAATAATCGTTGAATAATATTAAAGAATATTATATTGTTACACATTTGTGAATATAGAAATGTAGTTTAGGAAAATAAATATACATAAATGAATATTTATAAACACACATAAGAAAAGATAATAAAAGCAAGAAAAAGAAAGATAATAACATAATAAGATAAGTAAATAAGTAATGATAAAATAAATAATAATAACTGCTTTTAAAATAGATAAAATAATAAATAATTTAAAATAATTTTAATAATTAAATAATTCCTTTTGCATCATATGTACAACTCCTTTTCCTTCGTTTCTTTCTTGCAACCACTCTCATCTGAATTTCTTGTGTTTACAATTTCTTCTTTTAATTAATAATAATAAAGTTAATAATAATCTAGTGAAAGCGGCCAAAACTGTCGTCATTTTTTAATCGTAGTTCATTAATTAAAAATAAACGCTGATGTTTGTCCATCGTTGACAATCGTTTACATTTTGAAGATGGTCACGTAATCGAGCAGGCACTTGTTATGTCTGCAATTATTTTCTACTATAATTTGATTCTGAGGCTTTCTATATTTAAAATTTTTGTATTACAATCATAAATTGTATCATTCTTTAAATAGATTCGGCGAAAGAGAATGCAAAGGATATACAAATTCTCTCAAACACTCTTTTAACAACACTGTACAACTATGAAATGAATGAATTTTCGAAATATTTTTTATCATATACGTACGTGCGTGCGTGCGTGTGTGTGTGTGGAAAATGAAATCTTTTATAATACCGTACATTGTACAAGAAATTATTTCCTTCAGCTTCTTTCTCGTGATACAATATTATGAAACGATCCTGAAATATTTTCCCGATATTATTTTAAGTCTTTAACGTTACGTTTTATCATATTGGTGAATAAAAACGATATATGGATAGTAAACAAAATTGGGAAAAAGAAGATGCGCGGTCGTAAGATCAATGATCTTGACCCGTTTCTTTCATCATTCATGGAAATTCGTATGCATTCTTCACTCTCATCCTGGTAGCTCTCCGTTTTGTTTATCGTTAATTACATAAATACGGAAATGAAATTAAATCAGACTAAAGACGATTCGCGCGTTTCCTCTACAACAAAACGGATGATTATTGCGATGAATATTGCGATGAGTAAACGCGTCATGAAACTATACATATAAAATGAGTCTTTTCACACGGTTTGTTCGAACGTGTGAATTCAGGAAGTGAGAATAAAGTCACAACAAATTTTTCGCATAAACGTTACAACAGGAAGTATTCGGACATATCCAAGTCGTCCAAACAATCATTGTTGATCGATTGCAAAATCGCCGCGCTCGCTAAAGAGCCTGGCGGCTTATCATATAAATATAAGGTCAGGAAGAAGAAGAGGATCGAGAAGAAGGAGAGAGAAAAAGTATTATCGTTGAGACAGATATGAGGTCCTCTCTGAGCCTAGGAGCAGCCTTGCTCCTGACGATAGCGATCATCCGGTCATGCAAATCAGAATATACGTGTGGACACTTAGGCTCAGGTACGTTGATTGCATTCAAAAGTTATTCGTTAATCGTTCCCATATCGATACGTTGCGTTGGAATATTTGTAGGAAAAAAAAAGACTCCTCCATATGTCATGCTCATATCTCTTTTGATTTCTTTAGGCACTAACGCGTGCAAATGCGGGGAAATAGTGGTGAAATCGGCGAAGGTGCAAAAACCGCTGTTCTACGCGTCGCCGGAAGCAATCAACGAAGCTGCAGTGGCACGCGAAGCGGTTGGAAGATTGTCCGTGGGAACGGATCGGTGGCACGGATCTGAAAACTTGGCATCTACTCCCAAATATGAACCATATACCGATGGAGCGTTTAGCAGCAGCAGCAGCAGCAGCAGCAGCAGCAGCAGCAGCATCAGCAGCAGTAGCTCTTCAAGGTCCTCGTCTTCCATCGGAATTCTTGGAGGATCGATTGGCGGAAGCAACGACTCACCCTTCACTTTTGTCTCGGATAGAGCTACTTCCAATTGCGGATGCGGAAAGGATCGTTCCGAATCTCTGGAGGTTCGCGATCTCCTATCCACTAATATTGAGGGAAAAGTCGTGCCCAGGTATTTTATACCGCATGTATTCATCGTTTCATGATTTCACCGTTGCATTATTCTTGTTTCACGATTTCAACTTTCAACGTTCGTTGACAGTTTTCCACCGATCGGCGATCTGTGTTACCCGAGCGCGCCTAGCAGTAAATTCCAGGTGACCACCAAAGTGACGCCTGCATATCCTGGTAAAATCAAATGCGCCCCTCCCATCCCTTACAAGGTTTGCGTGAAAATACTCAATGGACAGATCGACGAGGCTGGATTGAGGGAACTCGGTTTAGCAACCGGTGGATCAATCGGCAGGAGTGCGAGTATTTTCGACAAATATATTTCTAACGGTGCAGCCAAGTTAGCTACGCGATACGGATCGCACGCAAGTGCCGGCGCGGGTTCGAGCACGTATGGATCGTATTCAGGTGGTAACGCGGGTTCGATCGCATACGGATCGTACGCGGGTGCCGGCGCGGGTTCGAGCACGTATGGATCGTATTCAGGTGGTAACGCGGGTTCGATCGCATACGGATCGTACGCGGGTCCGACCACGTATGGATCGTACTCGGGTGCCAACGCAGGCTCGACCGCGTACACGGGTATCGCGACGTCGAGCAACGTCGAGAGGATCCAAGGATCGAGCAAATCAAGCTACGATTTTGGCGATGATGCAGGTACGTCTCTCAATCTTTAACTTGATATATGAATAACTAACGATAAGATATAGATAGAGAGTACCTGAAATCTTTCCTGAAATCTTTCCCTTTACCCACCGTTTATATTCATTATACTCAGTCAGATTCGACTCGAATGAGTAGTAATGTAATTTCACGCACACAGACACGCGCCGCGAGTTATAATATACATAATATCCAGAATTATTCATGAGATATTGATATAAGCAAGACTGAGAGATGTGGGTAACGTTTCTTTATATTTTAGAGCTTCCCGAAGACTATTCGTATCCCCGACTGCCAGCGGATCCGGTGTCAGTCACTCTAGCGTACAAGAATTTCTTCCCGCGTACCGTACATTACAACAAGAGAGCATTCGTGCCGGAAGACAAGCTGGCGTTCGGTCATCGAACCGTGCCGACCGAGTCGACACCCAGCAAAAGTGTGCCGGACGTTCCCGAGGAAAAGCTTCAAATCCTCAAGAAACCCATTGTAGAGTTGAAGCCGATACCACAGGCTCCCACCATCATCGGCGCTTACGACGAGCACGAAGAAGCAAAATTGGCGGAGCTCGAGGCCATTGAGCGCGAGAAGATAAATCAGGAGGAGATCGCCGAACGGTTGCAAGAGAACTTCATTACGTACGGGTGAGTCGAAAGAAGAAGAGAATTTTGCGTGTATAACTTAATCGTGGCTCGCAAATGATCTCGATTTTTGCTGGCATCTTTGATTCGGTTATTTGATTTTGCCAGAGATCCAACGCCGCAATTCTCATCAGGCATTCGTCGCAATACAACTTGCCGGATATATCTCAACGTATACTTACACCTATTACGCCGGGCCTATTATCCTTTACGAATCTTGCTGTCCTATAATATATGTGTTATATATGTTTTGCTTTGCTCAACACAAAGAGAGACGCACGTTTAATTTCTAGATTGATAAACGTACGTGTTGACATTTGAAAAAATGCTGCTCACACAGATTCGCAACCTCGCTGTAAATTTAAATCAAATCTCTAATAATGTTTATTATTTAAAGGCACGGTCTTAATCGTATCGAGTTAACATGTTGAGCAAGCACAATTTCCAAAGATGAGCGTTATATCAGTACTAATTGCGTACGCGAGTGTGTTATTTGTCTTATTAATCCCGAGCTTAATCCCGAGATAAATATGTATTTTGGTGAATAATTGCTTTTAGAGAACTAGGATACGCGCCAATCAACAGGCCCATCGGCCAATCGGCAGAACCTATTGGCGTATTCAACAACGTGGAAGACGATACCCGCGGAGCAGACTGCGGTCCGGTAGGACCACCGGATCCCGATTACGTTCCTGGCAGCGTCGTGATCAATCAAGAAGAAATCGTGAGAAATCAAGTCGGAGATGACTCCCTGAGAAACGACGACAGTTCAGACATCTACGTTCGTCATTATGACGAAATTAGCGACAACGACGACGAGGAGTACGACAACGACGAGCCTATGACCGGCATATTCGCCAGACTGAAAAGTGTCGCCCGAAAGCACGGTCGTTTATCATCCTCGTGTGGAGCCGTGTGATCTTTCGAACGATACGAAATGTGTAAAAAGGACTTGCCTTACTGACGATTCGCGCCTTATTGACGATCGAGATGAATCTTGATTGATCCTTTTGAACGCGCGAAGACGTGGACACTCTCCAGAATATTACACTAGTCCCAGTCCTGTGTCTTTGTGATGTTATTGTTATAAGATAATATAGCAGTTGCGAGAGTAAAATTGTTGATTTTATTATACAGTTCCCAAACATCCTTATTCTCCTCGTAAAAACAATTTTTTATATATGAATATGGATAAACGGGATGTTCGATAAGTAACGACAAACTCTCGCATTGGAGTAGAGCGGACTGTAGAGTCGAAAAATCCTCTATCATTTTACAATTTTTCCAATAGTTGGAATATTAATTTCTAATAATTTTTTCACTCGAGTACTATCAACTTTACCAAAAAAAAAAAAAAAAAAAAAAAAAAAAAAATGACAAAAATTGTTTATTTCCTTCTTATAGAATTATGAGAATTTTTTTAGAATTTTTTAGTACCGCATTTTCTCATGTTGTAGAATTCTATGAGACACAAATAAACAATTTTTATTTCTTGCTGTTTTTCTGTAAAGTTGATAGTACTTGAGTAAAAAAATTATTGAAGACCAATATTTGGTGATTTTTAGTAATTGATATCTTGTTAATTATTACGGAAATTGCAAAATGGTAGAGGACTTTTTGACTCAATTTACTCCTACGCGAGAGTTTCATCGTTACTTATCAAACATCCTGTATATAAATGTAAATATGAATAAACATATCTATAAACACGCATAAATATTCTCAATCATGTATAATTATGCATCTATGTATATGTCCATATACATCTCTCTTTCTTTCGTAAAATTATTTTTTTATACTGTATTAAAAATTATAATAATATTGAAATAATATCGAAATTAGTTAATGGGACAATTTTCTCATTTTCTTGATTGTTGAAGAAAAAATCAAGTTTGAAAGAATACAAAAAAATTTGTTTATACATAATTAGGTATAATTTTATGTACAATTATATATATTATGAGCAATTCTTTTATATTTCTCAAACAATTGATTTTTTCTAAAACGAACAATGCGACAATTTTCCTTTTAATTATTTTTTATGTTTTTTCATTATTATTATTATTTTTAGCACATTAAAAAGTAATTTTACAAATGGAAGAAGCGTATATGGACATATCTCATACGTAATTAATATATAATATACATTTTTAAATATACATGTTTATGTATATTTATATATATTTATATATATTCATGTATGAAAAATATTTTACCGGACTCTCTCTCTCTCTCTCTCTCACTCAGAAAAATCTCTATATGTGTGTGTGTGTGTGTTTACATATGTGGTCCAACGGTATGTATGCGTGTGTCCGGATAGAAGATTAAAAAAAAATCCAACTTGCGCGTGTGCAATTAAAATTATAAAATTGCCATTTATACATGTGTATATACTTTTAATGGCTCAATAATTTCGCGGTATATATATATAATTTCATATAACTTTACAAATCCATTTTCTTTATTTCTATTTTATTCCGATATTTTATGAATCAAATTTAATTAAACATTGGAAAAATTTTCTAATACATTATTGTACAACAAACTTTAAATACATCTAATAAATTTCTACTATCAACAAATAAAGACTAATTAGAATCAGCGCAGATATAAGTCGCGCAGATAAATTTGACATTTGCTGAGGACGATTTCAAAATGAGTTGAAACGTTCAAAATAAATAAAGATTTTATCAATTTCTGAGTAATTACTTACTTTTACATTTCTTAATTCTGCACTCATGTATCTGCGTTGATTCCCATTAACCTTTGAATTGTATTGTTTGTTTAAGATTGAGAGTCTCTTTCCATTATTGATATTGATTTAACTTTGTTTCTACTATCAACTTCATCGTATGTTTTTTGCTACACAAAATTGTTAAACTTTTCTATTTTATTATTATATACTTTTACTTGCACTACTTTAATATTAATATTACTACAAAAACTTTGTAATAATAATCTTATTTGTAACAACAACAGAACGATTTATAATAATGATTACATAGCATCTTTGATACAAGAGTCACCCAGACGACATGTTAAAGGTCAAACAGGTTTCCGTCTACATTTTACAAATGCGTTTAGAAGATTTATGATCTTCCTTCTACTTCTTCGGCCAAAACACGACCGTCAACACGTCATAAAGTGTTTCACTCAGAAAAAGGGAAGCATACCACATGGTGATGTACGATGATCGCCGCGATGGAAACATATCTAATGTATATCTCCGAGAGAAAGAGTGGATCTCGCGGAGTGTGCAGTAGCTATTTAAAGACACTCCACGCGAGTTCAAGCGTTTCTCTTCGTCGAGGCATCTTTTCTTTTTTCTCTTCTTTCTTCACAAACGCGTACATGAAATTTACGATTCGTATGCACGCGTCGAACTGATTTATTTCATTTATTTCACATACGTGGCATAAATTACAAACAGCGAGACGAATAAAACAAGGAACCGAACAAAACAACTGCGAGCGAAAAAAAGAATAATTTGTGATTTAAATACAGACAATATCATTTATTTTAAACGTAAAATTCTATGTTGACATTTATAATAGATATAAAAGTATCTTTTTAATACGATCAGTTTGAATATTTTCTTATCTTTTGTAATATAAAAATATGCTTTAGAGAATTGTGCTTCAAACAAGTATATATTCTCATGGAATTGAGAATAATGCTAATATTTGAGAGATTTCAATATTGATAGGTACTTTTCTAAATTGAACTATAAATTTAATCTTTTTAGCATCAATTTTTCTCATATTATTTTAATATATATATTTTATATATATATTT